CTGTTTGTACCCTCCTTGAGCTATTCTGGGAGAAAACTAGGCCCCATTGGAGACCGCCTAACAGTTACCTTCACCAAGGGGCTGCATATCCAGCTTTAAAGTCAAGCTACTCACTGTTGTTGTTCTTTGTTGTTCAGTCGATAAGTGGTGTCCAACTCTTTGCAACCCTATGGACTGCAGAACGCCAGGCTCCTCTGTCTCATATGTTATCTTGCTTAATCTTCACAACAATTCAATAAAATGGATATCATATATATAGCCCCATCTATATAAAGGAAGTTGTTGAAGCACAGAGGGATTAAAGAATCTGCCAATGGTCACACAGCTAGAGAGTAACAGAGCCAGGATTCAGAGATCTCTCCTGCCAAAACCCAGGTGTGCCACTTGGTGTTGCTAATATGCAGACTATCTTAACAAAATATATCCACAATTTGTTAATGTTCAATTAGCATATATTTAACAAGTAAAAGTGGATACCTGTTTCAGTTCAGTTCAGTCGCTCAGTCATGTCCAACGCTTTGTGACCCCATGAATCGCAGCACGCCAGGCCTCCCTGTCCATCACCAACTCCCAGAGTTTACTCAAACTCATGTCCATCGAGTCAGTGATGCCATCCAGCCATCTTATCTTCTGTTGTCCCCTTCTCCTCCTGCCCCCAATCCCTCCCAGCATCAGGCTCTTTTCCAATGAGTCAACTCGTTGCATGAGGTGGCCAAAGTACTGGAGTTTCAGCTTCAGCATCAGTCCTTCCAATGAACACCCAGGACTGATCTCCTTTAGGATGGATTGGTTGGATCTCCTTGCAGTCCAGGGGACTCTCAAGAGTCTTCTCCAACACCACAGTTCAAAAGCATCAATTTTTCAGCGCTCAACTTTCTTCACAGTCCAACTTTCACATCCATACATGACCACTGGAAAAACCATAGCATACCTGTTTAGGTTACTTTAAAAATCAAATATTTAAGATACATCTCTATTGAGAGATCCTGTGAATTTTTTTTTTTTTTTGTGGGAAAGATGGTGGGACTTTGAGGTGGTCATCAAAGCAAAGAAAGATATAAAACAAATTAGAAAGATTTTGCTACATCCAGATAGTGAAGTAAGTGTTATCCTTTAATTGTTTTTGCCTCCGAGTGACCAAAGCTGGCAGAAGACAAGAGGTGATTGGGGGTGGGGGGCATAAGAGGGGGCATATATGACTCCATGTGGCTGTCTGCTATTGGTTTGTCTTCGTCTATAGTCAGAAACCAGCAGTGCATGCTAAGTTGCTTGTCACCTCTGACTCTTTGCAACTCTATGGACTATAGCCCACCAGGCTCCTCTGTCCATGGGATTCTCCAGGCAAGAATACTAGAGTGGGCTGCCATTCCCTTCTTCAGGAGATCTTCCCGATCCAAGGATCGAACCCACATCTCTTATATCTTTACCACTAGTCCATAACAGGCAGAGGAGGTCCCCAAAAGAAAAAGACCTAAATTCCCGATGCTTTACTGGGGGCTGTGTAAACAATTCTCGTAGAAGGAAGGCAGCACTAACTCGCCCCGGATATTACCCTGTTGTCTTTACATGAAGCCCGCCCTTCTGGACTCACCTTTGTTATGTGGAATGGGGGAGTCCGCAAACCATGTTAGTGCTTTATCAGCGCCCCCTGTTACACTCTGCCAATAGGGGGCGCTGGAGCGAGGCTGGAGGCGGAACCTCCTGTTGTCTTTCTCTGTACGCTGCTAAAGTGTGCATCACCATGGCAACGCCCTTCCACCTCGCTGTGGCCATTCCTTCCTGTGCCTACACTGAATCCAGTTAACAGTAACGGAGGACAGACACCAGGCTCTTCAGGAGAGGTCTGGATCTCAGGCTAAGAGGATCTCCTCTGAGCTCAGTGACCCAGGTACCATCTGCTTAGGGTTCCCCTCTCAGAGGTCTGAGTTGCTGCTTGTTGGCACCCCTCTTCCAAAATTCTCAAGTAAACAATTCCCAAGTATCTCCCTCCTTCCGGCCTACTTTCAGCAATTTCTACTTCCCTAATAATTTAGCATCGTCTATCCCTCCCCCGACTTTCACTTACTTGATACCTAGTTAAATTCTTTCCATGAAATTATTAATATTACATTTGCTATTTCAAACATTTGGAGAGGAATGCTGCATTCTTGCCTGGAGAATCGCAGGGATGGCGGAGCCTAGTGGGCTGCCGTCTATGGGGTCGCACAGAGTCGGACACGACTGAAGCGACTTAGCAGCAGCTGCATTTTTGGAGGAGTGATTTGAGGGTGAGAGAGAGAGAGACAAAGTGGCAAGCAATGTGAGCAGTTTTTTGTTTTTTCTTGGGTGTGGCATATGAGGATCTTAGTTCCCTGCCTAGGAATTGAACCTGTGTCCCCTGCTTTGGGAGGTCATAGTGTTAACCACTGGACCATCAGGGAAGAACCTGTCAGCAAAGTCCCTGCCAGCAGTTTTGAAGGAGGCATTTTTCACACTGTATTGCCAAAACCATCTATGGGACTCTCTTGGTGTTATCCTTTGTTCAGACTGCCAAAAACCCTAGCGTCTCAGACATTAGTGAGGGAGATCTACAATTTGGAACCTCAAGGATATTTCTACAGCCTAAAGATTATTAACAGTCATGGAAAGGCAAATGGATTTTTTGTTTTGTATTGTTTTTTTGAGCAGTTGCCATGAAAAAACAAACTCTGATTTTTACTTACTTTTTTCCCTTCAATAAAACAACAAAAGAAACAACTCTGAAGGTCATTTTTATTGCTTCAGTCTTCAGTGAAATTCAGGGAGTCTTCAGGGAACATGAAGTGACATCTGATCTCCAGGTCAAAAGAAGGCAAGGGCATACCTGTATGTTTTTATGGCTCCTTGTTAAGAGGGAAAAAAGCTTTCAGGTTCTTGCATGAGTATTGACAGGTTGTTATGAATGATTTTGCAGCAGGAGAGCATGGCTACAAACTAGGCTGTTCTGGATCAAATAGCTGCTTGCCTTCTCAGACATTGCCAGCATTTTTTTCTGCTTGCTCACCTCCCTCGGTGACTTGTTCTCACAAATACAATCCTGAATGATATATCTGAGCTTGTTCTCTTATCTGAGAGCAGGAAGCTGGGTGAGTGACGGAGGCACCTGCTGCTCTTTACTTTACAGAGATTAAGAAGAAGACTGCCACAGTCTCTTGGATGTCCTGTGGAAGTTAGAAAACGTATTCTGGAGAGGCTGAAAGGAGACCAGGAGATATGGTGTTCATGTTTGCTTCCACAGAACCCGACCCTTGGAAAAAGAAACACTCCATGGCAAGAGATCTTCCCTAAATAGGACAGAAGCTATTAAAGGTGAGAGTTTTCTTTATTGTTCATTTTTCCTTCCTCTTAGATTTCCATAAGTTATTCCTCACGTGGGTACAATCTTATGCATCAAAGGAGATTGTAAGGGAAAAGAGTTATTGCTGGAAGGATATGTCACATTTTGTTTCTCTTTCTCACCTTTTAGGAATTTTCCCCCCCCATAGTATCTGGTTTTCTTTGGTACTAAGTATCCTAGTGATTCAAATAGACATTTAAATAGACATACTTTTTCATATTCTTTTTCATTATGTTTTGTCACAGGATATTGAATATAGTTCCCTGTATTGTATAGTAGGACCTTGTTTATTTTTTTTACATAGTAGTTTCTAAGTACCCTGTATTGTATTTAAAATGTAACTGTGGTGGAGGAACAAGTATCAAGCTTATAGACACACACACACACATACACACCGGGGGGGGGGGGGGGGGGGGAGGGGTGGTGGTGGGGGGGGTGGGGTGTGGGGGGATGAGGGAATATGGACGAGTCCCAGATTTGCTTCTTGTAAGTATGTGATATTTGGCAAGTTATTTAGCTTCTGTTTTCCTCTCTATAAAAGAGGCCTAATAATACTGTGTTTTAAGCATGTTGTGAAGATCCAACAGGACAACGTAAAGAAATATTTCTGACTCATAGAAAGCACTCATTAAATACTGACATGCATAGCTCTGTGTGTCTATGTGTGTGGATGGTGGTGGTTTAGTAGCAAAGTCGTGTCTGACTCTTGTGACCCCATGGACTGTAGCCCGCCAGGCTCCTCTGTCCATGGAGCTCTCCAGGCAAGAATACTGGAGTGGGTTGCCATTTCCTTCTCCATGTGTGTAGATATATTTTATTTATTTATTTTTGGCCTCACTGTGCAGCATGTGGGAAATTAGTTCTACAACCAGGGATTGAACCTGCACCCACTGCCTTTGAAGCGTGAAGTCTTAACTACTGGGCCACCAGGAAAGTCCCTGGATAGATTTTAAATCTGAGTAGACTGAGAGTTATCTATATGAATGACTACAATGTATTTTTGAAATTATGTTCAATTTTTTGTACTTGTTTAAGAACATTTTCTTTAAAGCATGGCTAGATGCCATATCTAACCAGTGAATTATGTGTGGTGAAAGCATCTAAAATATGAACTGTCAAATAAGACCAAGAAGTGAACTTTATCTTTAAAAGCACTTTGGAGTTCTAGAACTGAAGGTGACAGTGTGAACTTCCTGTCTTTTCTGTCTAGACCTATCACAAATTCTGTCCTCCAGATAAAAGCTACTTTAGACACAGGGTGGTAAGGTGTGGGCAGAAGTCCTCTCTTCCTTGGAATAAAAGGTGGGGACTTCCTCTTACTCATTACTCCTTCACAGCAGCAGGGCTGTTTCCTTTTCTCTCTCCCGGGTGGAGGTGGATCCGGGTCCTAACTCCAGGCCCAGTCTGATCAACTGGTTTGCAGCGTCAGGTTACAGATCACCATCCACAAGGGTCCCAGGCAGGACTTGACTGAGGATATTTGTCTAGAGAAGAAATCTATCTTTGCCATCACTCTGGAGTTGGAACTTGATGTTCCTTGAGGATGTTCTGGATTGGTTTGTAACTGAAGGCATTTTGTTCTGTCCAAGGATCTCCTCCTCTGCCTTCCCTGTGCCCAACTCTACCGATCTCTCATTGCATGAAGATGACTGGGTGGAAGAAGAAGCTCTGCCGGGGGCATCATCTGTGGGCCCTGGGCTGCTATATGTTGCTGGCCGTTGTTGCTCTGAGGCTTTCTCTCAGGTTGAAATGTGATGTAGATTCCTTGGATCTGGAGTCCAGGGGCTTCCAAAGTCAGCGTTGTAGAGACGTCTTATACAAGAACCTGAAGCTGCCAGCGAAGAGCTCCATCAACTGTTCTGGGATCACACGAGGGGACCAGGAAGCGGTGACCCAGGCTCTCCTGGACAACCTGGAAGTCAAGAAGAAGCGGTTGCCTTTCACTGACACCGATTACCTCAACATGACCAGAGACTGTGAGCGGTTTAAGGCCCGAAGGAAGTTCATACAGTTCCCACTGAGCAAAGAAGAGTTCGACTTCCCCATTGCATACTCGATGGTGGTCCATGAGAAGATTGAAAACTTTGAACGGCTGCTGCGAGCTGTGTATGCCCCTCAGAACATATACTGTGTCCATGTGGATGAGAAGTCCCCAGAAACTTTCAAAGAGGCAGTCAAGGCCATCATTTCCTGCTTCCCCAATGTCTTCATGGCCAGTAAGTTGGTTCCGGTGGTTTATGCCTCCTGGTCCAGAGTGCAGGCTGACCTGAACTGTATGGAAGACTTGCTCCAGAGCTTGGTGCCATGGAAATACTTACTGAATACATGTGGGACAGACTTCCCCATAAAGACCAACGCCGAGATGGTCCTGGCCCTCAAGATGTTGAATGGGAAGAACAGTATGGAGTCTGAGATACCTTCTGAGTACAAAAAAACTCGCTGGAAATACCGCTACAAGGTGACAGACAGACTGTACCTAACCAACAAGATGAAGGACCCTCCCCCTGATAATTTACCTATGTTCACAGGGAATGCCTATTTTGTGGCTTCTCGAGCCTTTGTCCAACATGTCTTAGAGAACCCCAGATCCCAAAGACTGATTGAATGGGCCAAAGACACCTATAGCCCTGATGAACACCTCTGGGCCACCCTTCAGCGTGCACCATGGATGCCTGGCTCTGTCCCCTACCACCCCAAGTATCACATCTCAGACATGACTGCCATCGCCAGGCTGGTCAAGTGGCAGGACCATGAGGGAGATGTCAGCATGGGGGCCCCTTACGCACCTTGCTCTGGAATCCATCAGCGGGCCATTTGCATTTATGGGGCTGGGGACCTGCACTGGATTCTCCAGAACCATCACCTCTTGGCAAACAAGTTTGACCCAAGGGTGGATGATAACGTCCTGCAGTGCTTAGAAGAGTATTTACGTCATAAGGCCATCTATGGGACTGAACTTTGAGCTGTACTGCGGACGGATTGCTACCTGAGGGCCAGGGACATGTGCCAACATGCCTAGGGCATGCTGGTACTGTGTGGGGTGGGGGACGAGGGCTGTGGAATTCGTGGCATCCCCCAGGGTCAGAGGCCTGCTCCTGGAGTGTGGAGAGTAGATACGCTGACTTGCAGACTGCTGCCCTGGGTGAACACTGACTGGTAGCTCAGCCCACTTCCAGTAGCTCCTTCATTCACTTTCTCACTGAGTTCATAACAAGAACCAGTTGTCTGGGTAAGTGTGGGAGGAGACCTGGATTTCAGTTGAATTGGTATCAACTTTTCCACTCTCTGGAGGTGCCCATTCCTAATAATTCTAGGCTTGGTAGTGGGGAGGGGACTTTGATGGACAGAAGGCCTCCTGTTTTGTACTATTAACTTAATAAATAGCTTCTGATTAAAATCTCTACCTCTTTTTTTTCATCTAGCAAGCCAGAAATAAGATAAAACCGTGAGACTTTTTCTCCTAACTCTTGGTGACATTTGAAATCCCCGGTGGCCAGCAAGAGAATCACCATTATTCCTTGGTGATCATGGCAGGCTGTATAAATGGCTGATGCACAAGAATGTAAAGTCCCCCTTGTTTTGTTAATGTTGCCAGAAAAAAAGGCAGGGTGATTTAACCAATGTGACCATCCATATCCTTACAGGAAAATTACAGCACTAATTTTGCAAGCTTCACAGCCAAAGCTTAATGTTCCATGACAAAGATTGAAGCAGCCATTAGGTGAGGTCACCATATAATTTACTGTCAAAACTGGAACTCATTTTAGTTGGGGGGGGTACGGGGGGGAGGGTGGGTAGCCTGTAGTATTAATGATTATTTAGATAATAAAAATGAACTAGGTCTGGTTACTCCATCTTTATGCCTCTTGAGTCAAAACTCTTATTTAGGTATGTGAATGGGACGGTCACTGATTTTGTGGTTTATACATTTCCTTGCGGGGAGACAGCTGTGTGTGTGTATGTTGTATGTGCATTCTCTGCCCCAGCCTTCTTAGCCACCTGCCCAACAGATGTTACCCGGTGAAACAGTTTCTTTTCTAAAGCTCCAGAGATAATTATCAGGTTGTGTTAGTTGCTTAGCCGTGTCGGACTCTTTGCAACCCTATGGACTGTAACCCACCAGGCTCCTCTGTCCATGGGATTCTCCAGGCAAGAATACTGGAGTGGATTGCCATTCCCTTCTCCAGAGGATCTTCCCGACCCAGAGATCGAACCTGGTCTCCTGCATCACAGGCATAGTCTTTACCATTTGAGCTACAGAGAGATCTCAGGTTATCAGAAGGCAATTAGCTGCAAGTTACATTCTTCTGTGATGGGGAAGTGATCCTTTGTAAACAGATAAGCATATCTTGTATATGGTAGAACTGGTTTTCTGCATACAGTACATTCTGGAAAAAGTGATTTACACACCAGTGTGTATAATTTGGGGCTTCCCTGATGGCTCAGTTGGTAAAGATTCCACCTGCAATGAGGGAGACCCTGGTTAGATCCCTAGGTCAGGAAGATCCACTGGAGAAGGGATAGGCTACCCACTCCAGTATCTTGGGCTTCCCTTGTGGCTCAGCTGGTAAAGAATCTGTCTGCAATCTTGGAGACCTGGGTTCCATCCCTGGGTTGGGAAGATGTCCTGGAGAAGGGAAAGGCTATCCACTCCAGTATTCTGGCCTAGAGAATTCCATGGACTGTATAGTCCATGGGGTCGCAGAGTTGGAACACGACTGAGCAACTCACTCACTCAACTTGTATAATTTGAATGATGTTCCCATTAATATGTCATGCTCCAATGTGCCTGTATTTCTTCACTTCTGATTTTGATTCAGTTCCTCGAGTGTTTTCTCACAATCAAGTTTCCCAGCATTCCATGTACTCTGACACCGCTATGACTGTGTCTGGCACAGTGGCTTTCCTGAGTTAGTGACTGCTTCTGTAAGGCTGTAGTCCTTTGATAATGGGCACTGCCAGCACCAGCTTACCTGCACTGTTGCAGGGTCCTCCTTGCCTTGCTCTCATCATGGAGATGACTAACGAGTAGTCAGTTGCTCTGCAGTGAGCCCTGTAAGGCCTGTCCTTAGCAGCAGTGACTATAGACCTCTCCACCTATTAGCCTTTTGAGTGTCCTTGGTCCCCCTCTGAGGGGGCTGCAAGGGGGCAGAAAAGTTTCCAAGTACACGTGTCCTGAAAAAAGAACTTGGGTCTTTGGCTTCATAGTCAACTTCCTCTTTAAATCTTCATGTGGAAAAAAAAAATATGTCTTTATATAATACATTGAAAAGATTGAAATGTGAACTTATCATTTTGGGGGACAAGCTGCTGGAATTGCCCACGCATTGACATTTCCTCTAGAAACATACATTCAGGTGAACAGGAAGTGCTGTTTATTTAATAACAAACACAAGGTCTTCATATCAGAAGGGTCAAATTTCGCCCTCCTTGGGTTAGTGTAGTTTAGAAATTGTACAATTAAACCAACCCATCTGTTGATTTTTCCTCCTCTCATATCTGTTCCTATACCTTATCTCTGGAAAGGAAACATCCTATTAATGAATTGAGCAACTGTGTGTGTATTCTTTTAGAAAGCTTGAATTTCCTTTTTTTAATTTGTGGACTGTTGATAAGCATTGCTTTAGTAACTATATTTTTGCTGCACACTCTGCCCATTGTAATATGCCCTCTTTTCTTGATTTTGTGAAAATTTAAGAAAGGAAGAAAAGGCAGTTAATTTTGTTTAGAAACAGATGATATAATTTATTTGGGGAGAACAAGTATTTGAATTAAAAATGGAGAGAATAATTAAATACACGGCCTGCCTTAAGTACTTCAGCTGAACTGAATTTATCTACTGTGACTTCTTTCCCTTAGTTGGTCAGTCATTACAGAGATATAGTTCCCATCTCTATGATGCTTGAGTATATGACAAGCAATAGCATAGCTCATTCATTCATTCCACAAAGGTTAATTAAGCTCTTACTATTTACTAGGCATTGTTCTTGACACCAGGGGTAGTGTAGTCAATAAAACAGAGATTCCCATGCTAATGTTGTTCACATACTAGTGGGAAAACAACTATAAACAGTTAATATATATGTATATTAGAAGGAGACAAGTGCTAGAGAGAAATTGAAGGCTTGAATCAGACCTTCCAGTGGGGAGGAAAATTTTAAATAGTGTGATCAGGTCCGGGAGGTGACATTTTAATGAAAAATGTAACATTTGAGTAAACATCCGAAGGAGATGAAGGAATGACCCGTGAGGATAAATGGAGGAAGAACATTCTAGGCCAAGAAGAAAGACTTGCATAGCCCTGAAGCAGGATCATACCTGTCATGTTTAAGGAGCAACAAGGAAACTGGTGTAAATGGAGCAGAGCAAAGGGAGGGGTGAAAGAGTTAAGAATACAGGGGAAGAGGATGTATCCTGACGGCCTGTGACCCATAAGGTGGACTTTGTCTTCTCTGAGAGGGATTATAGGCTGCTGGAAGGTTTCGAGCAGAGGGCTGACATGATCTGACTAACACTTGAATGCGGCATTGGGGACAGATTGGTTGTTTGGGAGGTGGGGGTGGGAGCCGGGAGGCTAGTGTAGAGGCCAGCGTGCTGATGCTAGCCCTCGTAGCCCTGGCGGAGACCCGGGGAGCAGCAAGAGAAATGGTCAGAGTGGTCAGATCCTCGGAATGTTCTGAAGGTTCAGTATGAGTTTGCTGACAGATGGAGTTTGTTCATGAGCAATGGAGGGGTTGAGGATGACTCCAGGGGTTTTGTTTGGGTGTTAGGTGTAGGAGGACAGGGCTACCATGAACCAAGACAGGCACACGGTGAAAGAGTGGTTGTTGAGGGGAAGACCATGGGTTTGCCTTTGAAGATTTAAAACTGAAGATGCCTATTAGACATCTGAGGACAGATGTTGAGGGGATGACTGGGATAGGAGTCCGGGTTCAGGAGAGAGGTCTGGACTGGAGACACTTAACCTGGTGTTCCTCAGCTTGTATACCATATAAAGCCACGAAATGGGATGAGCGCGCCCAAGGAGTGAACAGAAGTAGAAAAGAGCCTCCCAGATGAGTCCTCAGGGCCTTCCAAAGTGCAGAGGTTACGAAGATAAGGAGGAACCAACAAAAGAAGAGTTGGAGGGGAGCAGCTGGTGTAGTAGAAGGAAAAGAGCTGGGTGTGTAGTGTTCTGGAAGTGTAAAGGAGAAAGTATCTCCAGAACGAGGAAGTTGATGACTATGCCCCAAACTATGCAAATCACTTAAGATGAGAATGAAGGCAAGACTATTGGATTTAACAGTGTAGAGTTGGTCTTGATAAGATCAATTTTTTTGTGGTGTGTGGACGTGAGAATACGATTGGAGGTGGTTCAGAGAGAATGTTAAGAGCAAATCTGGCTTTGCGCCAGTATAGATATATGTTTTGAGTCTTGCTATCAGGCAAGAGAGGAGAATAAAAGTAAAAGAATGGAAGGTTAAGAGCAGTTTGTCCTAAACATTAGAAAAGTGATAGCATGTTTGTCAGTTGATGAGAAAGATCTAGTCAAGAGGAAAAGATGCAGGAATGAGATGGGTTACCTGCCAGAGTGACATCCTAGTGAAGAAGGGTCATTATATAGCGCACAGGAGAAAGGGCCTGTCTCTGATGGGAGCACGAACGACAGTTCACCCACAGGAACAGGACTGAAGGCAGAGTAGATGGGCGTAGATGTACATAGATGGGCCAATGTGGTGGTCTGTAGAGTTTGTGGAGTTCTATCTTTCTCTTTCATTAACATTTTATTTTAGGTATAATATACATACAGAAAGGGGGCTTCCCATGGCACAGTGGTAAAGAATTGGCTTGCCAAGGCAGGAGATGTGGGTTCTATCCCCGGGTGGGGAAGATTCCCTGGAGTAGGAAATGGCGACCCACTCCAGGATTTTGGCCTAGAAAATCCCATGGACAGAGGAGCCTGGTGGGCTGTAGTCCCTGGGA